TTTCCAGATTCTGGCTATTATGAATAATGCTGTTTTGAACATAGTTGAGCACATGTCCTTGTGATATGTTTGTGCATCCTTTGAGTATGTGCCTAAAATTGGCATAGCTGGGTCTTGAGGTAGATTGATTCCCAATATTTTAAGAAACTGCCATACTGATTTCCAAAGTGGCTGGCTCTTCAAGTTTGACTACCACAGGCAGTGGAGGAGTGTTCCCTTTACTCCACATTCTTTCCAGCATAAGCTGTCAGTAGTGTTTTTGATTTTAGCCATTCTGACAGATGTAAGATGGCATCTCAGAGTTGTTTTGATTTGCATTTCCCTGATGGCTAAGGATGTTGAGCAGTTCTTTAAAGTGTCTTTTGGTTACTTAAGATTCTTCTGTTGAAAACTCTCTGCTGAAAACTTTCATAATTTAATAAACTTAAAAAAAATAAAAAAAAGAAAACTCTCTGCCTAGATCTGTACCCTATTTTTTAGTTGGATCATTTGGTATTTTGATGTTTAGCTTTGAGTTCTTCATATATTTTGGAGATCAGCCCTCTGTCAGATGGGTTGGTGAAGATCTCCCATTCTGTAGGCTACCTTTTTATCTTAGTATGTTCTTTGCCTTACAGAAACTTCTTAGTTTTAAGAGGTTCCGTTATTAATAGTTGCTTTCAATGTCTGTGCTACTGAGATTTTATTTAGGAAGTAGTCTCCTGTGCCCCTGCATTCGAGACTACTTCCCACTTTCTCTTCTATGAGATTCAGTGTGGCTGGATGTATATTGAAGTCTTTGATCCATTTGCATTTGAGTTTTGTACATGGGGATAGATATGAATCTATTTACATTCTTCTACATATTGATACCCAGTTATGCCAGCACCATTTATTGAAGATAATTTCTTTTTTCCATTGTACAATTTTAGCTTCTTTGTCAAAAATTAGGTGTTCATATGTGTATGAATTAATATTCAGGTCTTTGGTTAGATTCCATTGGTTCACTTGTCTGTTTTTGTGCCAATACCAAGTTGTTTTCATTACTGTAGAGCTTGAAGTCAGGAATGGTGATGCCTCTGGAAGCTGAATAGATTTGGAGAGAGTGGACAGCCTTGTCTTGTTCCTGATATTAACGGAATCGGCTTGCGTTTCTCTCCATTTAATTTAATGTCTGTTGACTTGCTGTAAATTGCCTTTATTATGTTTAAATATGTTCCCTGTATCCCTGATCTCTCCAAGACCTTTATCATGAAGGGGTGCTGGATTTTGTCAAAGGCTTTTTGAGCATCTTGAGATGATCATGTGGTTTTTTTTGTTTGTTTGTTTATATGGTGGATTACATTGACAGATTTTCATTTGTTGAACCAACCCTACATCTCTGGGATGAAACCTTCTTGGTCATGTTGTGTAATTTTTTTTTTTTAAATATGTTCTTGGATTCGGTTTGCCAGTATTTTATTGAGTATTTTTGAATTAATGTTCATGAGAGAGATTGGTCTGTAATTCTCTTTTTTGTTGCATCTTTGTGTGGTTTCAGTACTAGGGTAACTGTAGCCTTATAAAAAGAATTTTGTTTCTTTTGTTTCTGTTGCATGGAACAATTAATTTGAGGAGTATTGGTATTAGCTCTTTGAAATTCTGGTAGAATTCTGCACTGAAACCTGCTGGCCCTGGACTTTTTTTGGTTGGAAAACTTAATGACTGCTTCTGTTTTCTTAGGGGTAATAGGTCTATTTAAATTGTTTATATGGTCTTGATTTAATTTTGGTATTAGGTGCTTATCCAGAAAATTGTCCATTTCTTACAGATTTTCCAATTTTTGTGGAATATAGGTTTTTGAAGTATGACCTAATGATTCTCTGAATTTCTTCAGTGACTGTTGTCATGTCCCCCTTTTCATTTCTGATTTTGTTAATTTGGATGTTCTCTCTCTGCCTTTTGGTTAGTTTGGATAAGGATTTGTCAATCTTGTTTTTTTCTCGAAGAACCAACTCTTTGCTTTATTGATTCTCTGTATTCTTTTTGTTTCTATTTTAATTTCAGCCCTGAGTTTGATTATTTCCTGCCATCTACTCCTCGGGTGAGTTTGCTTCTTTCTGTTCTAGAGCTTTCAGGTGTGCTGTTAAGTCACTGTGAGATTTCCATGTTCTTTATGTGGGCACTTAGTGCTATGAACTTGCCTCTTGACACTGCTTTTATAGTGTTTCGTAAGTTTGGGTATGTTGTGCTTTCATTTTCATTAAAATCTAGGAAGTCTTTAATTTCTTTCTTTATCTCTTCTTGATCCAGTGGTAATTCAGATGAGAATTGTTCAGTTTCCATGGGCTTGTAGGCTTTCTGTAGTTTGTGTTATTGTTGAATTCTAACGTTAATCCATGGTGATTCAATAATATACAGGGCTTTATTTCAGTTTTTTTTTTTGTATCTGTTGAGATTTGCTTTGTGACCAAGTATGTGGTCAGTTTTAAAGAAGGTTCTATGAGGTACTGAGAAGGCATAGTTTTTTGTGTTTGGGTGAAATGTTCTATAGATGTCTGTTATGTCTAATTGAGTCATAACCTCTGTTAGTTCCCTTATTTCTTTGTTAATTTTCTGTCTCACAGACCTGTCCATTGGTGAGAGTGGGGTGTTGAAGTCTCCCACTATTAATGTGTGGGGTTTGATATATGGTTCAAGCTTTAGTGATGTTTCTTTTACCAATGTGGGTGCCTTTGTATTTGGGGAATACTTGTTCAGAATTGAGACTTCATCTTGATGAATTTTTTTTCTTGTCATGAATATGAAATTTCCTTTTTCCTCTCTCTCTCTCTCTCTCTCTCTCTCTCTCTCTCTCTCTCTCTCTGTCTGTCTCTGTCTCTCGGTTCTTTGAGACAGGGTTTCTCTGTTCCTTTGGAGACTGTCCTGGAACTTATTGTGTAGTCCAGGCTGGCCTTGAACTCACATAGATCTCCCTGCCTCTACCTCCCGAGTGAGAGGATTAAAGGTGTGCACCATCACTGCCCGGCTCTTCCTCTCTTTTGGTTAATTTTAGTTTGAAGTCTATTTTGTTAGATATCAGGATAGCGCCACCAGCTTGTTTCTTAGGACCATTTAATTGGAAAATCTTTTCCCAACCCTTTACTCTGAGGTAGTGTCTATCTTTGAAGTTGAGGTGTGTTTCTTGTATGTAGCAGAAGGATGGATCCTGTTTTTGTATTTATTCTGTTAGCCTATGTCTTTTTATAGGTGAATTGAGTCCATTGATATTAAGAGATATTAATGGCCAGTGATTCTTAGTTCCTGATAATTTTTGGTTTTGTTGTTGTTTTGGTAGTGTGTTTGTGTGTTTAACTTTTTTTGGGATTCACTGGTATGGGATTATCTTTTGCCTGTGTTTTCATGGGTGCAGCTGACTTACTTGGGTTGGAGTTTTCCTTCTAGTACTTTCTATAGGTTTGGATTTGTAGATACATATTATTTAAATCTGGTTTTGTCATGGAGTATCTTGTTTTTTTATCTATGGTAATTAAAAGTTTTGCTGGGTATAGTAAGTATGGACTGACATCCGTGGTTTCTTAGTGTCTGCTAAATGTCTGTGCTTTCATAGTCTCCATTGAGAAGTCAAGTGTAATTCCAATAGGTCTGCCTTTATATGTTACTTGGCCTTTTTCCTTTGCGACACTTAGTATTCTTTTTTTTTTTTTTTGTACGTTTATTGTTTTGATTATTTTTTGGGGGGGGGGCCTTTTTTTTTTTTTTTTTTTTTTGGCCCAGGCTATTTGGTGTTCTATAAGTTTCTTGTATCTTCATAGGCATTTCCTTCTTCAGGTTGGGAAAGGGTTTTTCTGTGATTTTGTTGAATATATTTTCTGTGCCTTTGGACTGGAATTCTCCTTTTTCTATCCTTGTTTTTCTTAGGTTTGATCTTTTCATGATGTTTCAGATTTTCTGGATGTTTTAAGAATTTGTTGGATTTAACGTTTTCTTTGAATCTATTTTTCTGTATTGTATCTTTAGTGCCTTAAGAGTCTCTCTTCATCTCTGTATTCTGTGGGTTATTTTTGTATCTCTAGATCCTATTTGTTTACTCAGATTTTCCATTTCCAGAATTACCCGTTTGTGTTTTCCTTATTGCCTCTATTTCAGTTTTCAAGACTTGAGCTATTTTCTTCACCTGTATGATTGTTTTTTTCTTGACTTTTTTAAAAAGTGATTAATTCTTCTAATTTTTTGTTTGTCTTTTCCTCTATTATTTTAAGAGAATTTCTCTTCCTCTTTAAGGTCCTCTATCATCTTCATAAAGCTGTTTTAAGGTTGTTTTCTTCTGTTTCATCTGTGTTGGGATGTTCAGGTCTTGCTGTTGCAGAATCACTCACTAGGTTTTGGTAGTGTCATATTGTTCTTGATGTTGTTGAATGTATTCTTAATCTGCTAATCTACCCATCTCTTCTTCGCGTGTATCTCTAGGGGCTGCTGATTTTGAGTGGGATGTTTGACCAGGGAGAGGGTGAAGGGTTCAGTGTGTTTGGGTGCAGAGTGTGTCTTGTAGGTTACAGTGTCCAGTGGGTAGGGATGGTGGTGGAGCAGCCTCAATTCTTGAATTTATTTATTATTTTTTTTGGTTTTTCGAGATTGGGTTTCCCTGTGTAACAGTCCTAGCTGTCCTGGAACTAGCTCTTGTTGACCAGGTTGGCCTTGAACTCACAGGGATTCACCTGCCTCTGCCTCCCGAGTGCTGGGATTAAAGGCGTGGGTCACCGCCACCTAGCCTATTCTTGAAAATTTTTAATGACAAATTTTAGACATTTTAAACCAATGAACCAGTGTTTTATCATTAAATTTCTGTCTAGTGCTCTAAATTAGATCCTAAGGAACTTAAGTTGACAAGCTATTAAGTTAAAGGAGTATTTTGAGTTTTTAGAATATACAAATATGTAATGTAATCAAGTAACTGAACTGTTTGGAAAATAGGTTGTCATTTAAAACAGAATGTGGCCTTTGGAGTGGTTCAGTTTAACCCAAACTGCTTTTTCTTCTAGGTGTTCACTGCACCCATGGCTTTAATCGGACCGGTTTCCTCATATGTGCCTTTTTGGTGGAGAAAATGGATTGGAGGTATATAGGTTTATTATAGTGGAAGAAGATGTATGTGACAATTCATGATGATTATGAATCTTATGAATGGTGTACTTATTTTTCCATGTTTTTCTTGTATTTTAAAAGTTGCAGAGGTTGGGTCTTCAATGTTTGTGTTTGTATTCAGCTTTGGAAATATCTGTTGTTTTCCTTTGAAGTTTATCTTCTATAGCTGTTAATGACTAGGAAAACATGTAGTGCTATGTGAAGGAAGCATTTTAGGATGTCATTACTCTGTTTAAACAATCTTGTCTTTATCGGGCATGTTACTTGTGAAGTACATTTTTAGATTTTGAGAGATTAGAACCTAGTTACCTGAAATTCTTATGAGAATAGGATATTGCTGACTGAACTTTCTTTTTACTTCTCTAGGTTCATAGTTGGTGTTTCTAAAACCTTTTATCCAGTAGATCCTTTTTTGGAATACAGTCAAGCAAAACACAGATGCGATTGTTTTCTATTTCTTTTACACTCAGTGGTTTTCTACTTTGTGTATTTTTCAGCTCTAGTCGTTTAGAACACTGTACACAATAACATCAGACTGCTCTTTTTTCTTTGAGACCTTGACCTTCAATGTTTTATTAAAATTTCTTTTCATTGGCTATCCATGTTTGTCATAAGCACTCACAGCAATGTGTTTTAGACATTTATAATGTATCATTTGTCAGTACCATGTATTATAGTAGTCTATGTATTATGTATGATGTATGATATATTATAGTGGACCATGTATTATAGGTGGGAAGTGTACCATGTATATGTATTTTTAGAATTAGTTTATCATTGAAAACTTTGCTGGCAAAGCAAGACTTTGGTTTGTCTGTTTTTATGCCTGTTATACTTTTGTGGTACTTTGAGTATGAGTTAATTATTGACAAATCCACATAAATGGACACTAGTGAGAAAATTGTATTGCTTGTTTTCCATAGTATTGAAGCAGCAGTTGCTACGTTTGCCCAAGCCAGACCACCAGGAATCTATAAGGGTGATTATTTGAAGGAACTTTTTCGTCGCTATGGTGATATAGAAGAGGCACCACCACCACCTGTATTGCCAGATTGGTGTTATGAGGATGATGATGAAGAAGATGAGGATGAAGATGGAAAAAAGGACTCAGAACCTGGGTCAAGTGCTTCCTTTGGTAAAAGGAGAAAAGAACGATTAAAACTGGTAATGTTCACAAATACTGTGATGTTCTTTTAAAATTATTTTAAATTACATTTATTTATTCAGTTATTTTGTGTATTTTGTATGTGCATACTTGAATGTGTGTGCCTTGGTGTGGGAATGGCACAATATGCATGGGAGGTCAGAGGGCAACTCATGGGAGTCAGTTCTCCTTTCATACTCTGCATGCATGGGTCCTGGGGGTCAAACTCAGGTTCTCAGGCTAACTGCAGGAGCCCTGACCTGCTGAGCCATAATACGCTATATTTTTGTTTGAACCTATTGTGGGATATTGGCTATATTTCTGTTATTTCGCACTCTCTCTTGTTCTCTCTGTTGAAGAGTATAATAATGGCTTCTGATTTTGTGAAATTAATTTTGATTCTACATGAAACTCATTAAGAAACTCCTAACATCATGAGCCAGATGGAGTCCTTAAGAAGGTGTGGTGGGGTCTCACTGTGAAGCCCAGATTGCTCTCAACTCTTAATCTTCCTGTCAAAGTGCTGAGTAATATTCTTAGTGCTGAGATAGATTATAGGCATGCCCCACCATGGTTCACTTTTAATGATTAGCCAGCAATTGTTCCTTAAAATTTTGTCCTACATAATTATTATTCTTTGGGTGGTGAGGCATGCTTGCTGTGGTGGTAATGTGAGGTCAGAGGACAAATTGTGGGACTCATTCCTCCCCAGCCATCTAGCATGTTCTGGGACTGAATTCAGGCTGTCAACATTGTTGCCATTTGACAACAAATGTAGTTGCTGAGCCATCTTGTAGCCCAGCAGTCTATTTTTTTTCCCAGAGAAAAGCTGGAGTTAAGAATTTCATCCTCGTTTTGTTTCTTATGTAAACCAAAAAACTCTTAGAGGTTAGATTGAGATTAGCTAAGAACTACTGAGTACATTGAGGATTAACAATAGATTTAGTATATTACCTAATAGCTAGTGAGGATATTTCTGCAAAATAGTCATACAGTTAATATAACTGTCTCCTGCCGTAGGTGGTGTTTCCTTTGTACTATATACAACTTAGAAAACTTCTTCTCTAGTCAACTTTTCTTAATTTTCTAGGCATAAGTCTAATGAAATATTAGGAGTTGGGTTGTGGCTACAGCTCAGTAGGTAGAATACTTGCCAAGCATGTATAAAGCATTGGCTTCCTTTCTAGCATTGTATAAGTGGTGCATGCTGATTCCAGCACTCAGGAGTTCAAGGCCACCCTGTTACATAGTTGTAGGTGAGGATAGGATGCACGAGACCCTGTGTTTAATTGAATGTGGTAGAGTGGGGGCTATCTTCCTCTTCCTGCAGGGACAGGAGGTATGTCGAGAGGACTGGGACTCTTTAACTTATACCCAGACATAGTTGGTATAGACCAAAGGGAAAGTGACAGAAGTGTGGAGGAAATGAAGTGTTAATGAAGTTAGTAATTAAGGTATATTGTGGTTGGCCAGTAGACACAACAAGTCATATCTTAGTTGACAATGGTTCACAAGCAAGGAGGAAGAAAATGCCTTGATTTTTTTTAAATATAAATTATGTAACTGTTACTTTAGGTTCTTTAAATTCTTAGTTGGAAAACTTTTAATTGTGCTTGCACATTTCCATCTTAAAGGCTTAAAGGCCACCCACAAATGTAAATTGCTTTAAAAGAAAATATTTTCAAAAGTAACTTAATTTTTTTGCTAGTGAGATGACTCATTCAGTAAGTGCATATACAGGGTATGAGGACTAGAGTTCTGTTCCCAGCACCACATAAAAAAGCTAGGCAGATAATACTCCTACATAAAATTTGAAAAGTGGGTCTCAGCAGTTAAGAACACTTATTATATTACAGAGGACCCAGGTTTAGTTCCTAGCACCTTCACTGCAACTCATAACTGTGTAATTCTAGTTCCAGGGACTCTGATGCATGGACATACAGGCATGTACTCATACATATACCAAAAAAAAATCTACTTCTCTCTGCTGTAGGAAGTTTTACAGCTTGTGGTTACTCGCCTACTGGGGTGTGGCCACTTAGACCATATATGCCTTGTGTCCTGTCCCCCATGTCCAGCCCCCCTCCCCCTTTTGGATTGCTGGATTCGATCTCTGTTCTCCATTCAAGCAGAGAATTCTGATTTGTGAGTTTACTCCTAAATAAATATCTGTTTCTCAATTCTGTGCTAGTGTGAAATTTCTTTTAATCGTCCGTTCCACATCTTCCAATTTCTTTTCAGAAGAGACTAGGCCTCTGAGGGATACTCCCTGACTGTGGCATAACAAAATACAATAAGATTAGGTACAGACCTTCATATCAAGGCTGGATGAGACAACCCAGTAGGAGGAAAAGGGTCCCAAGAACAGACAAAAGAGTCAGACACACCCCCACTCCCACTGTTAGGAGTTCAACAAAAAAACATCAAGCTAACAACCATATTATGTACAGGGGACCTTTCGCAGACCCATGCAGTCTTTGTGATTGCTGCTTCCATCTCTGAGTTCCTATGAACTGTACTTAGTTGATTCAGTGGACTGTGTTCTCCTGGTTTATTTAACCCCTCTGGCTTCTACAATTCTTCCTCCTCTTCTTTCAAGGGTTCCCTGAACTCCAAGGGGAGGGAACTGATGGAGATCTCTAGTTTGTGTTCTCTTTCTGCCTAATGCTTGGCTGTGGATCTCTGCATCTGCTCCTATCAGCTGCTGGTTAGAATTAGTTACCCCAAGATAGTTTATATTATTTGTGGCTATTGTGAAGGCTGTTGTTTCCCTGATTTCTTTCTCAGTTTGTTTGTCATTTGTGTATAGAAGAGCTACTGAGTTTTGTGACTTAATCTTGTCTCCAGCCACTCTGCTGAAGGTGTGTATCAGCTGTAGGAGTTCCCTGGTAGAATTTTTGGGGTCACTTATGTATGCTATTATATCATCTGTGGATAGCAATACTTTGACTTCCAACTCTTTGATTTATAACCCCTTGATTTCTTTCAGTTGTCTTACGCTCTAGCTAGAAGTTAAAGTACTATATTGAATAGATATGGAGTGAGTGGGCAGCTTATCTTATTCCTGATTTTGGTGGAATTGCTTCCAATTTCTCTCCATTTAATTTGATGTTTGCTATAGGCTTACTATAAATTGCTTTTTTAAAAAAATGTTTAGGTATGTTCTTGTATTCCCGATTCACTCCAAGACTTTTATCATGAAGAGGTATTGGATGTGGTCAAAGGTTTTTTTCAACATCTAATGAGATGATCATGTGTTTTTTTTTTTCTTTTAGTTTGTTATATAGTGGATTACATTGGCTGAGTTTTGTATGTTCAGTCATCCCTGAATATCTGGGATGAAGCCTACTTCGTTATGGTGGATAATCTTTTTAGTGTGTTCTTGGATTCGGTTTGCGAGTATTTTATTTAGTATTTTTGTGTCTATGTTCACAAGGGAAATTGTTTTGTAGTTCTCTTTGTTGGATTTTGTGTGGTTCTGGTATCAGGTGCTTTTGGCCTCATAAAAGGAATTGGGCAATGTTCCTTCTGTTTCTAGTTTTTGGAATTTTGAAAAGTATTCGTGTTAACTCTTCCTTAAAGTCTAGTATAATTCTGCACTAAAACAATCTGGCCTTGGACTCTTTTTCTTTTTCTTTTGGTTGGGAGACTTAATAACTTAGATTTTCTCTTTTTATGTATTACAGGTTTTTAAAGTAAGTCCTTAGGATTCTCTGGACTTCCTTGGTGTCTGTTGTTATGTTCCTCTTTTTATTTTCCTAATTGCTAATTTTAGATATTCTCTCCATGGATACACATATGCACACCCATCCACACCTGTAGAGGTCAGAGGACAACATCCTGGGGATCAAACTCATATCTTTAGGCTTGGTTGACAGGCCTTTTACATCCTGAGCCATCGTACATGCCCTGCTTGCTCTTTATGATAAATTTTTATAAGGAAATTGAAATACATAGATGACTTAGACTACAGCCTTATATCACCATGCCTGGCTTTTCAAATATACTTTAAAAAGCAATATTAATTTTGAGCATATATGTTTAATAAAATTTTGGAAATAATATTTGATTTTTTGATTTTAATAGTATAATGAAATACAATTTAAAGGTTTAGTTTTCATGCTTTTCCAGTGGAAAAAATCTTAAAGTTACACCAAAGAACTGGTAGAGTGCTTGCTTAGCATTTGTGCTCTTGGGTACATTTCTTCCCTTTTCTTTTTTAATGCAGATTTTGGATTTTATTAAAGACATTTTTAATATTGACTTTAAGCATGCTGGTTAAGAAAAGAGAGGTGCTCAGGTACAAAGCACAGCTGGGCATATTTAAGATGGTAGTTTATAGGGATATTGACACCAGTTGGGTATTCTTAGTCATTGTATTACAAGTCTTTCGGTTTTGCTTTCAGAATTTATTTTTGTTAGTTAGTATTTATTAATAGAAATGGCCTTATTTTTAAAGTGTTTTAAAAATAAGCTTGTCAATATATAGCCTAGCTGGCCTCAAACTTATTGTGTAGCCAAACTGGCCTTGAACTTTTAGGCTTCCTTCCTCAACTTCCATAGTGCTGGAGTGATAGTCATGCATCACCACAGCTGGCATTAGAGGTGTGTTTTCATTTTTAAGATTTATTGTTTTATGTGTATGAGAGAGAGAGAGAGAGAGAGAAAGAGAGAGAGAGAGAGAGAAAGAGAGAGAGAGAGAGTGTGTGTGTGTGTGTGTGTGTGTGTGTGTGTGTGTGTGTGTGTTTGTGTACCATCTCTGTGTCTGGGGCCCATAGGGGTATAAAAATACGTTGGGTCACCTGGGACTGGAGTTTCAGATAGTGAGCTGCCCTGTGGGTGCTCAGAATTGAACCAGGGTTCTCCTACAATAGCAACAAGTTTTCTTAACCTCTGAGCCTCCCTTCAGCCCCCTAGATGTGGTTTTAAAACAGCAGTTTTGTTGTTGGGTCAAGGTAATGGTATAACAGAAAAGCATTGGTCATCTTTATCCTTAGGTCATGGGATCCCAACATTATCATTATTTTAAGGCAGTCAGAATTGAAGATTTCTTAGATGACAAAACATCTCAATTCTGAGTTTGAGACAATGTAAGAGTGCTGTCTGCTAGGAAGACTTAGGACTCCTGTGGACCTGACAGAGTGGATATGTGGATGAACTCTGAATTGTTTTTTCCTCTTCCTAAGTGCATTGCTTGCCAGATCTTGGCCAGAAGGTTGAACTTTGCAACCGTAGACCAGGTGTTTTTTTTTTTTTTGTTCTTTAGTGACATTGTCATCTAGAGTTGTTACATAATTTTACTTGAAAGTGATGCAGAACCTCTCTGATGTATCTGAAACTGATTTAGTATACTTAGACTAATGTTTTAGTTTTAAAAAGTGTGAAAAAAGAAGCAGAAATTTTATAGACTTTCTTGGAGTACACCTTTCCTTTGGCTTTGAATGGGATCTTGCTATATAGCCTATGTTGACCTTAGAATCCTTTTGCCTGGTGTCTGGTGGCGTATAAATGCCACTAGTACAGCAGGCAGAACAGAGCATTTCTGTTTAATATGAGTTTTCTTAGGTTTAACTACTTCATTATTTGTAAATACATTTATCCTTTATATATGTGTGTGTGTGTATACATATATATTACCATTTTATTTTCTCTTTCCTTTAAAGGGTGCTATTTTCTTGGAAGGTATAACTGTTAAAGGTGTAACTCAAGTAACAACTCAACCAAAGTTAGGAGAGGTACAGCAGAAATGTCATCAGTTCTGTGGCTGGGAAGGGTAAGGAATATTTTTAAGTTTTAAATAAAATTTATTCTTTATGTAATACTTAAGATCAATAAAGACATTAACTGGGCATTTTTTTGCTTCTTAAAGTTAGCGTGTACATTGAGTGCATAAGAGGATGTCAGGTGTTTTTCAAGGTAATCTGTAACAGTCAAGTTGAATCAGGATTAGTGGACTTACATCATTCTCAAGAATACAACATTATTGTTGTCACCAGAGTTTTCGTTGATCTCTTTGTTTCTGCTGGTTAACAATGAGGAAGACTCCTTGTGTCTACCACCTCTGCCTCCACTGTGCACCTGTGGGTGGGTGCGCCCCTTCCCCCATCATTTATTGTGCATGATCTAAATAGTAAAGCAGGAGAGTCAGGGAAAAGCCTGAATCTTAGCTTAATTCCCTTAACAATACTAGACCCCAGTGTCTGCCTGTTTTCCCACCCCCACACTCCTCCCAGTCCTGGGATCATAGCTTATACCTGCCAGGCTTGCCTTTTTATGTGGGATCTGGGGATCCCAATGCGGGCGCTCATACTTTCATAGGAATCATTTTAGCCCCTGAGCTCTCTCTCTTCAGTCCTGCATAATAATATTTTAAAATTAGCCCAATATTTGTATTATAGCAGTGGCCATTTAGTACCCTGTAAACTTGTATTCTAAAATGTCAAGACAGAGTGTAGCTTTGGCTGTCCTGGAACTCACTATGTAGATCAGGTTGGCTTTAAACTCACAAGAATCCACATGCCTCTGCCTTCTGAGTGCTGAGATTAAAGTAATATGCCACTATTCCTGGCTGAGATTGATGCTCTTCCATTTGAAATTAATCTCGTGATAGGAAGAATATTGTGATCAACCTGTGAGCCATTTGAGATTGGTTTAACTCAACGATAACATTATATAGGTTATAACTATGACAGAAAAATGTTTTTTCTTTAAGGTCTGGGTTCCCTGGAGCACAGCCTGTTTCCATGGACAAGCAAAATATTAGACTTTTAGAGCAGAAGCCATATAAAGTAAGCTGGAAAGCAGATGGTACTCGGTAAGTTTGACTACTCAAAATCAATTACACAAATAACTCTCATGCTTGAAGAATATTATATTGTTAGGGAAAGTTTATACTTCTCAGGGTGTGAGTTTCTAGTTTGAACAGCGAAATAAATGTTTCAGAAATTATATAGCTTTTATCTCATTGGTATTCTAAGTTGTATAAAGTTTTAGTTCATTCTGCTGAATTTTGGCTACAGAATTCTGTTAGTTTTTGTGAAAAAGTTTTCTTGGGGCTGGAGAGATGGCTGAGTGGGTAAGAGCACTGACTGTTCTTCCAGAGGACCCAGGTTCAATTCCCAGCACCCACATGGCAGCTCACAACTGTCTGAAGATCCAGTTGCAGGGGATCTGACACCTTCACACCAATGCACATAAAATAAAATTAAATCATAAAAAATATTTCAAGAACAACAAAGTTTTTTATTTGTTTTAATTTTTGAGACAGAATTTTACTTTATCCTGGGCTAGCCTTAAACACCTGGTGTACCTGCAGCAATCTTCTTATTCTCCCAAGTGCTGGGATTATAGGTGTGAGCCATTATATCTGTTTTAATACTGAATGTATAGAAAGAGAATACGATCCTCTTACCTCTGTCTCCTGAGTGTTGGGATTATAGGCATGTGGCACCATGACCGCATTTGAGATCTCTTTTGTTATCCTTATTTCATAATTTAGTTGCCAAATATATCTTATTCTAGTATCTTTTTTTGTTTGTTTATTTGTTTTTTGAGACAGGTTTTGTTGCCTGTCCTGGAACCAGCTTTTGTAGACCAAGCTGGCCTTGAACTCACAGAGACCCACCTGCCTCTGCCTCCTGAGTGCGCCACCACTGCCTGGCTATTCTAGTACCTTTATGTAAATGTATTTCAGTAAAACTTAATTTTGGGGTCAGGGATGTAGTTAGTTGTTACAGTGCCTGACTGGTAGGCCCTGAGTTTAGTCTCTGACACGGAGTAAAGCTGGGCACTACTGGCCTAAGCTTGTATTCCCAACATTGGTGAGGTGGTGGCTAGAGGATTAGAAGTTCAAGATCATCCTCAGCCATAGAACAATTTCAAGGTCAGTGCGAGGTACAGGAGACCCTGACACAAACAAACTCACAAACTAACTTTATTGCAAAGCAGTAGGTACCACTTTCTTTTGAGTGTTAGTTTGCAACCCATGACTGAATCCGTTTTTTTTTTTAAAAGCCTTTTTACCGCTAAGATAGGAGCTCTAGTTTTGACTGGTCTGGAACTTACTATGTAGACCAGGCTAGCCTTGAATTGTGACCATTCTCTTACCCTTGTCTTCCCATTTTTGGGATTACAAATGCGATCCACCACACTTTGATAAGATTTATTTTATTTTTTTTTTAAGTTAAAAAAATTTCTTGTTTTTATGTGTATGGTGGTGTCTTGGTTAGGTTTCTATTGCTGTGATAAAACTCCCTGACCCAAAGCAGCTTGTGGAGAAAAGAGATTTATTTTGTAAGCCAGCATGAAGGGGAATCCTGTAGAGTGGAACCTAGAGGCAAGAACTGAAGTAGAGTCCATTGAGAAGTGCTGCCCATTGGCTTGCTTGCTCTTCCTCTTGGCTTGAGCAGCCTACTTTCTTATATCATCTTGGACCATCTGCCCAGGGGTGGCACTGCCTACAGTGAGCTGGACCCTTCAGCATCAATTATTAGGCAAGAAAATGCCCCAGAGGCTTGTACACAGGCTGATCCGATTGAAGGCATTTTCTCAATTATGGTTCCCTCTTCTTAGATAATTCTAGTTTATGTCAGGTGGGCAAAAAATTACCTAGGACATGCGTGCTAGCATGAGTGTGCACCATGGGTGTTCAGGAGACTGCAGAGGCTGGAAAAGGGTTTCAGCTCTTCTAGAGCGGGCAATATGAGCTAACATGGGTGTGGGAACTGAGCCCAGGTCCTTTGCAAGAGCAGTAGGTTTTCTGAGCTGTTGAACCATCTCTCCAACCTCTGATTATTTTTTAAAATGTAACTTCCGAATGTACACTTCAAAGACAGATAGGCCTGATTTTCCTCATAAAAATATTCCTTGTTTATAACATGGTGTTCAGTGTCACATGTGCTGTTGTAAGTATTTAATGACCTGTGACTATCCTGTTTTAGAAATAGCTGTTATATGAATAAACTAATTACAATATGTTGTCACACAGATTCTGTATTTGCAGCTGTAATTGTTTTTGTACAGAATGGTGCAATTACCCTAGGTAGTTTACTTGAATACCTTGAGTAGGTATCAATAATTGTTGTAGGTGATTTTATTTTAGTGGCTGGAGTTAAACATTCAGACAGGAATGATATGCATAAGGTAATGAGACTCTAGAATTGTCTCCTATTTAGTGAATAATATTAAAGAAACTTCAGATGTTTCTGGATTAATAGTCATTTGTAAACTGTCTTTTATCCTACGTAGAAATAGAATGACCAAATCAAATTATAGCTAATTGGCTATTGTATATATGCTTTTATATTTGTTCACCTAACTCTTTGTGAGTTCTAGACATTTGATGCAAGACATCAGCTCAGATACACATTTCTGCTTAGCCCTAGTTTCTTTCTGGCATAACATTCTGTTTTTTTTTTTTCCAGTTTATCATGATACCTTTTAGGACAATTCCTAGATAAAAATTATGTACCATTGTAGGAAGTTTTACTGAAGGAAAAAAAATGCAGAGATTTAAATCAAATGGAACTGGGTTGGCTCTGACACAACACATTTTTGAGAAACACTCTAGTTTCCTGGTTGATTCTGACTTTTGCTATGTTTAATGGTTACTGCCCTAATGAACAGTTTAAAGTCAGTAACCTAATCTAGAGTGGTTAGTCACTGAATTAAAGATATACCAGAGAATTTGATAAAGGAAATTTACATGAAGTGTTCAGGACTGTGGTCAGTAAATGTTACCATCATAGCTGATTTTTTTTTATTTTAGTGTTCTTTTATTTTTGAAAATTACTTGCATATAAAGATGCTTATTAAAAGTATAAATTAAATATAACTACAATATAATTAACTAATAAGCAGCTCTACAGAAATGTTTACAGAATAATTAATTATTTTTCACATGTATAGGTTCTAAAGAAAGTTAAGAACAGCTGTCTGAGCAAAATGAGACAGCAGGAATATCTGAGACGTATAACTTACTGGGCATATAACTTACTGGTAGAATACTGTCTAGCATGGCAAAACCATGGGTTTAATCCCAAGAACACATAAGTTTCAATAAGTAAGTAAGTAAGTAAATAATATAAGCCCTTTTCAGCTCAAGATTATGAGTACAAGCTTAGAACCATTGCAATGCACAGTGCAGTAAATCATGAGTCATTGATAATGAACATCTAACTCTATTCTTATAATTATTTTAGATACCTCTGAATAACTGCATCTTCATCAGTGATATTGACCTCAAACAAACTTAGGAATCAAATAAGATAAAACTGTGTGTGACCTTTGGGGTAAAAGCTAGAACATGTCTAGAACTTAGCAAGCAAGCATTCAGTCTTTAGTTCTTTCTCCATTCTGAATAGAAAAACCTCTTTCAAATAGCATTTGAATGAAATGTAAATCAGATATAGTATTCCACATCTGGTCGTCAGTTTAGAGCTAAACAGATACAAATAAAACTTGTGCTATACACACAGTTAGCATCTTAGTTGAGAATTTTTAGTTGCCTGTATTTCAGAGATAGCAAATTTGAAGCTTGGAGACTTTAGAAAATCCTTTTTTTTTTTTTTTAAGACAATATTTCTTTGTGTAATAGCCCTGGAACTCAAGTTTTGACCAGGCTGGCCTTGAACTCACAGAGATTCTCCTGAGTGCTGGGATTAAACGTGTGCAACACCACCACCACCTGGCTAAAATACAAATTCTGTTTGTGGTTAGTATTTCTGAGCTTTTCAAAATAGACTAGGCAGATGGACCTAGATATCTGAGAAACAGATAATATAGTGAAGACATTGAATTTTTCTCTTTCCTCGTGTCAGTGGGTGGTTGCTCACTTGGCCTTATCCTAGAGACCATGTGAGATTTGCTGTTCTTTGAAAGTAGAACTAAACTAGATAATGTGATGATTTACTAATTTTAATTTATTGTGGGACTGGGACTGTAACTCGGGGCTTCTTATGTGTTAGACAAATGTTGTACTACTGTTTTATAGCCTAGCCTCTGCAGCTTGCTTTTTCTCTGATCATGGCTATTTTCTATTGTCGTAACATGTTAAAAACTTGATTTCTCAGGAGCTAGAGAGATGATTCAGTGGTTTAGAATACTGGCTTTTCTTCCCGGAAGACAGAACTCAATTGCAGTTCATAACTGTCTATAACTCCAGCTCCAGGGATCTGATATCCACTTCTGGCCTCTAAGGCATCTGTATTTGAGCATGTACACACTGACACACAAAATAAATATAGCCTGGTGGTAGTGGCACACACCTTTAATACCAGAGGCAGGTGAATCTCTGAGTTTGAGACCAGCCTGGTCTACAGAGTGAGTTCTAGAATACCCAGTATAACACAGAGAAACCCTGTCTTGAAAAACAAAAACAAACAAACAAAAAAGGATTGCTGCTAAGAAGTTTATTTATTTTTGAGGCATTGAGAGTGTTACCAGATTTTTCTTTATTATAAGTAATCATACTGATTTGTTTTTACCTGTTTTTGTATAGGCTATTATAAAAGTAATATTACGTAGATAATGTGTCTTGCTGACATTTCTCAGGTTGTCCAGGAGTGCCTATTTTATTCACCACTGGCAGTTTGAGGAAGTAGCCAAGTTGACAATTGGAAAATAAACTTCTCCTAAAAAACAAAGTCAAATTTTACTAATATAGGCACCCACAAAACGCTGAGAATAATATTTATTATTGCTTTAAATAGTACTTTTTAAATACTAGGGTGACTACACAGTATTTATTGTATACTTTAGTTGTAGGAACAGTTATGACAGGTAACACACAATTGACTACTTTCATATTAGGCAATT